GTGGCTGACGTCACGGTAACGTCCCCCTCGGCAACTCACTCCCGGGCAACTGTCATCCTTGACTTAGGTCAGTCGCGTCGCCACGGTTGACAGATTTCATCTTTGTGCGTAGGAGGAACGGATAGCGTTCGCTATGTAAGCGGACCAGCGCACTGAAAAATAATTCTCGGCGTTTTTACCAAGGTCCGTTGGTACCTTTACATCTCACTTTTTTTACCAATTATTGGTAATTTTACCAATAGATAGACTGGTAAGCTTACCTCAAAACCGGTTTTTTACTGTTTTTTTCAGGTAAGAATACCACTCTTATTGGTAATCGATTCCCGGTAACTTTGCCATTTTATCTCGGCAATTCTACCACAGTCGATAAAAAATATTGGCGTGATTACCAAGGTCCAGTAAAATTACCGAGAAAGTTCAATAATTCTAAAATTACCAATTCCATAAATGGTAATTTTACCAAGAAAAAACTGGGATTAAATAGACCCCTGAATTCTTGGTAATTTTACCCTTTCCTTAGTAAATACACCGAGATTGTTTTTCAGTGTAAGCGGACCAGCGAGCTGATTATTGAAATTGGACGTATTTCTGTCAAACGGAACTTCGTGCATTAAGACATGAGCCCTGAGACCCATAAGATTACATAGATAATAGGGCTCACGTCATAACGCACATTGTTCCGTTTGACAGAAATGCGTCCAATTGATGGACAAAGCGAAAGACAAAGAAGGCAAAAAGGATATGGAGCACTGAAAAAAAAATCTCGGTGTATTTAGTGAGAAAAGGGTAAAATTACCTAGAATTCAGGGTTCTATTTGATCCCAGTTTTTTCTTGGTAAAATTACCATTTATGGATTTGGTGATTTTACCGAGAAATCTCGGTAAAATTATTGAACTCTCTCGGTAATTTTACTGGATCTTGGTAAAAACGCCGATATTTTTCATCGACTGTGGTAGAATTACCGAGATAAAATGGCAAAGTTACCGGGAATTGATTACCAATAAAAGTGGTATTCTTACCTGGAAAAATAAGTAAAAATACCGGTTTTTAGGTAAGCTTACCAGTCTGTCTTGGTAAAATTACCAATGATTGGTAAAAAAAGTGAGATGGTAAAGGTACCAACGGACCTTGGTAAAGACGCCGAGAATATTTTTTTCAGTGAAGAAGACAAAGAGGATGTGGAGGGATCCTATTGGTAGAAGCGGGTGGTTGCAATGGACAAAGGAGGTAAGTAATAGACTAACTAACGGCAACCTGAGAGAACCTATAGTTATAGTTCATCGTTTTCCCCTTTAGTGCATGAAAACCGCCCATTTCAGCCAATAGGATCGCTCCATACTATTTACGTCTTCTTTGTCTATCAATTTCAACAATCAGCCTGCCACCGTGCTAACGAAAAATGCCGTATGAGCATTCAAGAGTCGCCAAATTTCCTCCGATAAACTGTTCATTTTTGAAGGAAGCTATGGATATTCTTCCTTGTAATTTTCAGGAAATTTAGGTAAAAATTCGAACAAAGTTATCTGAAAAATTGGAGGAAAAACGTTTACAAATTTTCTCGAAAATTCGTTATTTATAAAGGGAAATTTGGCAACGCCTAGGGGTTCATACTGCGTTTTTCCTTAGCACGGCAGAATGGATAGCGTTTGCTATGCAAGCGGACAGGTCATAATATCTGCAGTGAGAATTTTCAGAATGGACTACTTACAATAAATTGTTGAGGACCATTGGCGGATCCACAAATTGGCAACGTTATCTTTTCTCCATTTAAACCTATGGAAATGTATCGATTCTTGGAGGAGCGAAGTGCTTCGACAAGAATCGATTATTT